TGATGACGACGATGGTGGTGATGATGATGACGACGACGACGATGATGATGATGATGACGATGAATATGATTGTCAAAGTGATGGCCATGCGGAGAACACGCCTGACCATGTCGATCGCAGTAACGACATGTCATCATCAGGACACACCTGGCGGTAGCCCCAAGCATTCCTCCTCGGATTCTACATGCGGAGTTTCTGCCAAGCTCAAAACGCTGAAGCTGCTGAAGTCTTCGTCGCCCTGCACCCTTGGCTTATCGGCCAGGTTTCGAGCCCCAGGTCCGGCAGATCGTAAAGCAAACCGACATGGGCAAGCGGGGGCACTCGGAAGGGCAAGTGACGGCAGGTGCATGCTGAGGATTCTGGAGGGCCTTCGGGACCTTGCGTTTCAAGGATGCTCGTCGTACCTAGCAGAAGAAGCTTGTTTCAGGGTTCGTCGAAGTGCAGAAGCAGAGAAATGTCGAGCCATTGTCCTGGAACTTTCTGGCTGTGAAGTAGATGAATAGTTCTGATCAGTTCGTGCTCACCGGCCACAATCGATTTTGATCCTGCTGTAAACATGTCAAAACAGAGGCCATGGAGAGTGAAACGAGGTTTGAGGGTGTAGGCTCCAGCATGACCCTCGTCTTGGGAGTAGGTCGCAGCAGCGAGCTTGCAGGACTATAGACTTCTCCGCTTTGGGATCTTGAGCTCCCTGAATTCCTGGTTGTAGGGTTTGGTGCGTTTGGCAGGGCAAGAATCAGAGGAATCGGGAGAGTGTTCGTAGGCACGTGTAGATGGAGGCACCAGAAACATCAATGTCGGCTGACTGCATGGGGCCCGTGCTCTGTATTTTGACGGTGATGACGGTGATGATGGGCGGATAGTACAGATGACAATGAAACATTTCATGGAGTTGTGCGTTTGAGCGTCGAAGCAGTGGTCGACTGGCACTTGCCAGGTGGAGCACTGTTCGACTGCAGTCGATGATGTTCTCAGCGACGTTCGCTTCGGAGGCCGGTCTCGGGAGTGTTGGGGCTCTTAGAGCGGGCCTTCAACACTGACTTTGGAGACCCTCTGTGGATGCTTTGGAGCCCCAGACTAATGCTGAACAGAAAGGGCTCTTCAAACTTCAAACCCGAAGAGCCCAAGACCCCAAGCAGTTGGACCCTGGATTGATGAGCAGCCTAGATCTCGGAGGTCCAGGTCATGGCACGCGACTTTCTTTCGGACTACCTCTTCATTACAGTTGGGCGCGTGGGGGCTGCGCCGGCAGCCTCAGGGGTCACAGGATGGTGGGATGTGAGAAGTTTAGCTAAGCTGATGCGCCTGAAGATCATCACGATTGTCATCATTTCTGGTGTCGCCCATGATCCTCCCCTCGTTCGCTGTGCGTAGCATGTGACGGCTTCATCCTCATTTGGGCTGTGACAGCGGTGTCTACTTTTGCCCCGGAACACTCAATCCTCCAACGACTGCTGTCCCTATATAGTACTTGATCACCCGCTCTCTCTGGTCTTTGATCTGTTCGCTACTTTTTCTCCTTTTGAGCAGTTCGCTGCCCTTCTGCAAATTCTTCTTTGCTCTTTGTCAAAACCTCCAAACTTTGTCGAGCGGTTCGCTGCTCGTTCTTGAACACTTTGGCATTCCAGTCTCTTTCGAGCACTGTGTTGCCTTTTCTCAATTGCTGAAATCCCTTTCGAGCTGTTCGCTCCTTTTCACGCTGCTTGCTGCTCTGTCTCAAATGATCTAGTCCATTTCGACAGGTTTGCTCCTCGATCTAACATGCTCTAATCGTTTTCGAGCTCTTTGCAGCTCCTTTTCAATTGCTCCAGTCCCCTTTGCACTTTCTCAAATGCTCCAGTCTCTTTCAAGCAGTTCGCCGCTCTTTGGCAACGGGCCTAGCCCTTTTCGAGCATTTTGCTGTTTGTTGCAAAACTCCGGTCCGTTTTGAGGGACTCGCCGCTCTTTCAATCTCAAAAGCCGTAATCGTTATAGACCGTTTTGTCTTTCGCTCAACGCCACAGTACTGAAGTCCGTTAAACAAATTCAGAACAGCCACAGCTTTCTGCTTGCGTCACATTTCCACAATTGGTTTCAGCGCAATAGTACACCAGCTGGACAAGTTGTTCAGCTGCTGGCCACGAGAGCTCGAAAGCTGCCAGACACCGTGTAGACGCCAGAAGCAACGTATGCCAGTAGCACCTGCGTCCAAACCCTGTGCTGAAACCTTATCCCTTTCGAGCGCTTCGTTCCTTTGCTCAAATGCTCTAGTCCTTTTGGAGCGGTTCGGTGCTTTGTCTCAAGCGCTCTAGTGACTCTAGTGCTTTGCGGGCGGTTCGCTGGTCTTTCTTAGATGTTCTAATCTTGTTCGAACGCTTCGCTGTTCGTTCTCAGATGCTCCAAACCCTTTAGAGCGGTTTGCTGCTTTTTCTGAAATGTTGTAGTCCCTTCCGAGCACCCAGCTCCTCTTTCTCAAAGCTGCTCTTTCTCAAATTCTCTTCTGTTTCGAGCGGTTTGCTCTTACTACTGCATCTTCGAAGCCGCCAGCGGCAAGTAGAAGCCGCGCGTGCTAAGTCCCAGGCTCGTTGAATCTCAGAAGTCGGACCTCGAAAAGGAGCCCCTAAACGGAGCACCTGAACCCGAAACTCCTTGGTGCTGCTCGAGCAAGGTCGGAACTGGTTACGCAGAAGGCTCGGTCAAGTCAGGACGGCGTTGAAAACCTGGCAGTGCGGTTGTTTGCTGCCATGTTGAGGTGTGGCCGCACATATGAGGAATGTCGCTAGTTGTGGTTGCGCTGCTCTGCCATACACAGTTCTTGTCATCTGCAACATGGCTATGATTTGTTGTGACTATTGTCATGGCTGCTCTGCTTCATTTTGATGTCATCATCATTACTAGTATTACCAGTTGTGAGAGGCTTTATCTCATTCTAACTACATGGGACAACGACCCTCTTTCAAGGCTCAGCTTAAAGGTCTCAGCCCGACACCTGCTGGAACACACATATACATACATATAAATATATATACACACACACACCCAGACCTAGGCACGGATGCATTTTCGCAAACACATCTTCGACAACATGTTGTCGCCACGGTCTCTGGTTGCTTGTTGTGACCGTTTGGAGCAGTCTTCGGGAAAGCACAGTAGAAGACTGTGTTTTCAAGCATGCTTCGTATGGCTACCGCAACTGTATTAGAGAGTGTCGTATCTGTAATAACTATCACCAGAAGCAACCATTCTAAACCTCAACCCCATCGACCAATTCTCTGGAGGTCGTCTATGCAGACGAAGGATCGATGAAGGTGCGCAAGCTGGACACC